CGCAACCCTCGGCGTTGCTCCCGCGCCTCGCTCAGCCAGTGAGCGGGAACCGGTCGGTATGTGGGATCCGAACCCTCGGGCGGGAGCGCCGCCGCGCTTCCCAAGTGGTGCACTATCCAGTGCGCCACTGGGCCGGCCCTTAACCCTTGACTTGGTGTTGTCAGCACCACGCTCACCCAGTGAGCTAACCAGCCATCCCTGTATGGGATCAGAACCTGTGGCCTTGGTTTTATCAGTACCACACTCTCCCGAGTGAGCCACGGGCCGGCCCAGGAATTGGTTATTATGAAACACTTTTCTGGGTAGAAGGAAAGGTAAACTTAATAATTACTTCTGGGGAGGGAGTACATATATTCTCATTTTTCTTGGGTAAATACTTAAAGAGTGGAATTACAGGGTTATATGGTAGGTGTGTGTTTAACCTGATAAGAAACTGCTTAAACAGGGCCGACCCTGTGGCTTACTTGGGAGAGTGCGGGGCCTAGAGTGCAGCGGCGCTGGGAGCGCCAAGGCCGCGGGTTCGGATCCTCTATAGGGATGGCCGGTGCGCTCACTGGCTGAACGTGGTGCTGGTGACACCAAGCCAAGGGTTACGATCCCCTTACCAGTCACAAAAAAAAAGAAATTGCTTAAACAGCCTTCCAAAGTGGTCGCATTGTTTTACAATTGCACTTTAACTATTCAGTTTAGTTTTTGAAAAAGATAGGTTATAAATTCTTGATGACAGTGGATTACAGAGTTGTAATCTATACATTCTGATATATTAAATGTAAATATTAGTTGTGTAAGGCTTATTAAATATCCATGTAGCTTTGATTCAATGTTTGTACTTATCAGATACATTTAGGTCTAGAGAACCATTCTTTTTTCTTGTCATAGAAATTAAGACATGTCCACATTCAGTCCATTTATATGCATATCTTCATTCTGGGCTAGATAATTTGGATTGTATAGATAATTTAGACCTAAATTATCTATGCAATCCAAGATTGGGACTTATGGTATGATCCTGTGAGACTAATGTGGGAAGATTGGGACTTATGATGTGACCCTGTGAGACTAATGGCAGGTATTTTGCTATAGGCACAAATGGTAATTTAAGTGAGAATCCTTTCACTTGATATAGCAGTGACAGTCCATCTCCAGAACAGACTAGTTTCCCGTATTTGTGTTTTCTTCTTTTTTTCCCCCACTGTTCCTCCTGCTAGTTATTACATTAAGGATATATAGGATATTCTTTTTTTTTTTTTTGTCCTTTTTGAGATCGGCCGCACCGTGCTCAGCCAGTGAGCGCTGTGAGCGCACCGGGCATCCCTATATAGGATCCGAACCCGCCGCGGGAGCGCTGCTGCGGTCCCAGCGCAGCACCCTCCCGAGTGCGCCACGGGCTCGGCCCAGGATATATAGGATATTCTAACATTTAAATTTCAGAGTATTCTTTTGCAGGGGGGTGGGGGGGTGGAAAGATGGAAAAATAGCCCTAGGGGATCCAAACCCTTGACCTTGGTGTTACAATACCACTCTCACCAACTGATCTAACCGGCTATCCAAATATTCTTAAACTATAGCGTTTAGAGGTTTCTGGGTGAGGTTTCTAAAAAAATATTGTTAAGAAGGCTTTAGGGCCGGCCCGGTGGCACACTGGGTAGTGCGCCGCTTGGCAAGCGCGGCGGCGCTCCCGCCCGAGGGTTCGGATCCCACATACGGACCGGTTCCCGCTCACTGGCTGAGTGAGGCGCGGGAGCAACGCCGAGGGTTGCGGTCCC